TCAGCAGGGAGGTGGGAGCACAGGCAGGATGGGGATCAATGAGGGGAACCCCCTCCCTTCCTCTGAACTCTGAGGCCTCTCTGTGCAATTTAAAGTAGGGAAAGAAAGACATCTGTACCAAGGATTTGTCAGGCTTGTTCCTGGCAGATAAGCTGGTTTTACCGAGTGGCTTGACTTGTAATTCCCACACAGTGTGTAGATGTTTGTCTTATGTTTACCTAGAGGAAGAGATTTTCTATCAATCCCGAAAAATTTAACCTTGTGTAACGGTGCATATCCTCGGTGAAAAAGAGTGTGAGGATCTGTCAAAATGTCAGGCTTGCCTGGAATGAGGGTCCTGCAGAAAACAAGTGGGATTAATGTCTTTGAAGATGTTTCATTTAGGAGTAATGGAGTCCCCAGGCTTTTGGGGGCCCCTATAATTGAACTGAAGAGGTTATAAAGCCTAGAAGGGAAATGCTGTTCAGAGCTGGACAGGCAGAGGCACTCTCAGAGGGAGAGGGCCAGATAGGTTATTTCTACTGTAAAACAGCATCAGAAGGATGTGGAGAATTGTTCCTAAATTACACTCCTGTGTCTTGATTTTAGGGAAGTCAGTAAGACTTGGAGGTTTGCTTCTAGGGGAGAAAAGGGCATGGGTCTGAGTTTTATTTTAATGGTGCTCATGGAAAGAAACACAACCCCCCTCTGCTCTCTGAATCATCAGGTGGGTTTGCAGGACCACAGAAATTAGTAATTATTTTAAAATGAATAAAAAAGTCAGAAAACTTATTGAAGCTTCCACATCTGTAATGCTGCAAGTCAGCACACAGTGTCTCCTCTCTGAGGAAAAACCTGTGTTCAGAAAGTGCCTCCTTTCAGAACCTGAAAATGGATCCTTTACAATGTGTGTTTTTCTTACCAGAGACAGTGTTTGGATGGAGCTGTGTTTTCTGCCTGAGACATTGAGCAGTGTTCCTCTTGACAACTTCATGTTGGCTTTAAAATGCTTTTTGAAATAATGCCCTTTCTCTTCTGAAGGCTCTCGAGCTCTTACAAAAGTGGCGAAATTACCCTGCTTGTGAGGAAACAGGCACAGAGCTGTGATGCCTGCACTGCTGGCAGCTTCTCTCTGTTTGCCCCAACTTGCCAATAAATAATAAAACAACCCCTGTTAATTGTCCTTGCTTTGCAAACCCCACTTATTTCATAAGCACTGGTGGGGACTGGGAGGGTGAGTCTGCCTTACTCATGTTGAGGTTTGAAATGGGAAATCCAAGTTTCTTGCTTGTCAGGGATACAGGCAGTGTTTCAGGTTTGCTGTTTCATGGGAGGGACTTGCTGTTGCTGGAGCTGTTGTTTTGGCCTTGGACACCTCCTCTTTAACAAGCTCCTCTCCAGTGAAGCTTTGAAACCTGCCTGAGGTTCTGAATTGGCTCTGAATAAAAGGTGCTGTGTGTCTGAAGTGTCCAGGGCTCTCCAGCAATCCAAAGAGCCAGCACACAAAGCCATTAAAGCTCAAGTGCCTGGCCATGATCCCTGGAGACAGTTTGCAGCTGAGTCCTGCAGGAACCGGCTTTGTCTGCAAAACCACCTGCGGCAGGGGGAAAAGTCCAGGCAGGTCCTGTTGATTCATCAGGGTGGGTGGTTTGGTCCTTCAGCCAAGGTGAGTGGGAACAAGGGAGGGGACAGGGAGATGGTTTAGAGGGGATTCTGGGCTTTTCCCCCTCTGCTGAGGCACTGGAATTTCCAGCTCGCATGGCTTAATGGCCCTGGTGTCCTGTATCCTGAAAGAAGATACACGGCCTGGAGGAGCCAGACCTGACCTCCTCAGCTCCATTTGCAGAGTGAAACCCCAGAAGTGCAACTCCTGTGCTGCCTCAGAGCTCCTCCATCTCCTGGCACTTCTTCCATGAGGAACACGGAACTTTATTTATTTATTTTTTATTACTTTATTTTACCTCTTGGTACCACACCAGTTGGTTTGCTTCTTCCAGGGTGGGGAGTCTCCTGTGCATGCTCTGCTGAGCCAGGAGACTGCTTGGAGTTGAGCATGCACTTCCCTCCTGTGGCTTAGAAGGCTGTATCTACATTTTTAGGGATTTTTTTTTCCCCTCCAACTTACTGAGGTACGAAGGGAAGATTATGGCACTTGATGATTTAATCAACATAATCTCTAGATAAAACATGCTTATGTTCTACTACTGGGAGATATTAATTTATGCTGGTTTGCTTCTCCAAAGGTAAATTAAATAATTAGTTTTAAGACTGGATTAGTTGCACATGTGCCCTGCCTCTTAAAAAGGCAGTTTAGGAATTCTTAAAAGATTCTTGGCTTGGCATTTCTCAGGAGTCGTCGAATCCCTTCAGTGCAGGTGCCATGAAAAGTGGTGCAGCACCTAAAGGTGGGACATGGACCCTGCTCCTGCCCCAGGTGCCCTTCTTGCCCAGGAGTGACATTTTACCAGTTAATTCAGAGAGAAGGCTTTGCCCCAGCTCTGGAAACCAGAATTGCTCCTTTGATCCAGCTGGTACCTTGAGCTGGTTCAAAACCTCACAGTGTCTGCATCCATGTCCCACTGGAGAGAGCACCGGGACACCCAGGCTGTGTCACCCATCCAGGGCCAGGCTGGCTGGGGCTTGGAGCAACCTGGTCTGGTGGAAGGTGTCCCTGCAAGGAGAGGAGCCTTAAGGTCCCTCCCAACCCAAATTGTTCTGAGATTCTGCGTTGATGTGCTTGAGTGACCTTGGAAATTCAGGCAGCGCCTCGGAACTGCCTGAAAATGTATCACTGAAAATCTCCCCAGATGTGTCACTGAAAATCTTCCCAAATGTACCACTGAAAGTCCTCCCAGATCTACCACTGAAAATCTCCCCAATGTACCACTGAAAATCCCCCCAGATGTACCACTGAAAATCTCCCCAACGTACCACTGAAAATCCCCCCAGATGTGTCACTGAAGCTCCATGAGGGCAGAACGAGAATTAAGAGCAGGAGATACTCACCGTGGTGGCTGGGAGGTGTCACATCTCATCCAGGCAGGGAAACTGAGGCACAGTGTGCCTCTCCTCACAGAGGGCAGCATGCAGCAGTAAAATGGGGGTGCTTGATGCCAGAGTCATTGGGTTTGGAGCAGATGAGCTGAGCTGAGCCAGTCTGTTCCCCTTGGGAATGCCCGAGGAGGTGCCCCAACATCGGCTCCCCCTGACCCAGGGGGAGGAGAGCTGCCAGAGGCCCTCACACAATTTCATGGTTATTAAGGATGTGCTAATGAGCTTCCAGGATGGTTTTCCAGTGCTCTGCTCCCCCAGCTCTGCCCATGCACGAACACCTCCATCTCAGGAGGACAGCAAACACTCCCCTGGAGCTGTAACTCCATTTCCCATGGATCTGGGCATCCGCAGGGCTGGTGCAGCTGCAGGGGTTGAGGAGAGGACTTTTCTCAGCTCTCCATCAACACAGAGAGCAGGAGCTCAAGGCACCTCAAAGGAGCAATTGCTGGTCCCCCAGATCTGGGGCAAAACCTCACAGAATTGTGAAACACACCAATCACTCGTTTTTAGCATTTTTAAAAGTTTATAAAAGGTTATAAAAATAGTAATACAATTAGAGTAATAAAAATTTAGAGTTAGGACAATTACAAGACAATAAAAACCAAAGAATTAGGGATGTCCAGATGCTCTCAGGTACTTAAGCCAGGACAAGCATGCTTTGTGAACAAAGGAATAACCCTTAAAACAATACACTGTTGCATATTCATATATACTTCATGGTTATGCATACATTCTATTTAAAACAAGAAACTCTGTCTGTTATATGTCAACTGCTTCTTTTAATCGCCACGGCATCTTCGAGTCTGAGCAAGGCCTGAAGAAATTAGCTTCTTCTGATAAGAAAACTATAAATTCCTCTTCTCTGGAAGATTTAGGTGTTCTGTGACTGTTATCTCGAAGAGAGTATCTCATTCCTTTAAGAAAACCCCACATACACAGTTTCTATTTTAACTACTAAAGCTTCCATTTAACTACAAAACTACATTTACCATACTATTAAAATGTTAATACAGCACAACTAATCAATATAACATAATACATATAGTAAATATAATATGCATTTTTCACCGAATGCATGAGGTGGTGCAGTGCTGCTGTGGGTGCAGGGAGAGGCAGAGAGCGCTGCTGCAGGATGCTCTCAGCCATGCTGGGCTCTGTGCTGCAGGATGCTCCTGTGTGGGACGGAGCAGCCAGGAAATGCCACATCCATCTGCTCTTTGCCATGCCTTCTTGGTGCTGTTTTCCCTGCTCCAGGCAGTCTTTGGGCTGGCTCTGCCACATCTCTGGGCTGGCTGGGGTGCTCTGCTCTGCCTCTCTGCATCCCGGGGCCATCTGCTCCTGCCTGGGGTGGCTGTGCTGGGGCTGCTCCAAATGTGGGGCTTTGGCTCTGGCACAGCCAGGATTGCTGTTCCCAGGGGCAGAGCTGGGGGAAGGAAACTTCTGTATCTCCGTGGAGGTCAGGACAGGGATGAATTCACAAGGTTGAACATCACACGAAGGGTGGGAAGCAGGTGTGGAGTGCCCTAAAGCTTTTCCTGCTGTAGCTCTTCCCATTGCACTGCAGGACGTGGGTGCCTGAGCAAAGAGCACAGAGAGCCCTCCTTGCTTCACTACTTCATTTCTCCCATTTGAATATTGAGGCATTTTTTTTCTGCTTGACTATTTAGAGGCAAGTGTCTCCTCCTGTGCACAGTGCTTTTGCACCTGATTTACTGTGTGATGCTCTGGGACTAAATGTTAACCAGGGGGGCTGATCCAGTCTTCTCTGAGCTGGGCACCTCCTGGAGCTCCAGAGGCATTTCAGGAATGAAATCAGCTCATGAAACCCTTTGCCACCCTATAGGTGTGCCTGGTGTTGTGTTCAGCTCTTCTCCAGCCCCTCTGGCCACAGGAACCCTTGAAAGCATCCCTGGGGCTGAGCTCTTGCCCTTCACACGGAGCCCCTCAGTTCCTGTGTGCCTCTGAGTGTGCCCAGCTCCTCAGGGGCTGAGTTCTGGGGCTGTGCTTTGCCCTGGGTGATGCCCGGGCAGGGAATGCCCCACACAAGGTGGAGATCACCTCCCTGCTGCCACGTGGGTGGCTGTCTGACCAGGAGAGGAGGCAGAAAGGTGCCCAGCTGGCACTTGTCACTTCTGCCTGCAGGCATCACGGACGTGTCACTGGCACAGCAAAAGGGGAACAATGTTCTTTTTGGCTGGATCAGGCTGTTTTCTCTCTCCAAGTACCACAGGCTGACATGAGGTGCTGCTGAACACTCAGTCTGGTTTATCTTTGCCTCGGTGAACAAGGGGGAAAGGCACTTTTTTTAATTATAAAGAAAGTGTTTGTAGTCTTTCGTGCTGGCAGAGCCTTGGCAACAGATCTGGTGTGCAAGGTATATTTTGACTTGGTTTAGTGTCTCTCTCAGGCTGCTGATGGCTCTCCTGCATCTCCCATCCAGCCCTCCAGGACTTGTCCTGCAGCCAGCGAGGATCCAGGTCGGTGCTGGGGAGCAGGGACTGTGCTGCCATGGGGGTCTCCACTGCAGTCCTGCCTCTGCAGCCAAAGCAGGTGGGTTTGGAAGGAGGAGAGGTGGGAATTCCTGGCTCCCAGGAGGGCAGGCACTCGGGGAGCAGCAGTGGGAGAGGGGGGATCCCACTGCTGCTGAGCCATCCTGCCGCTGCCTAATACAGAGAGATCAAACCAGAGACAGCAGGATTATTTATTGAGGTGTTGGTTTGAAGTTCAATGGACAGGAATCACATCTCAAAACTGTAAAGAATGAGCTTTTTAGCCTTTTTCCTTTCCACAAAACAGCAGCAACATCTCGGCAGGGATGTCAGGCCGAATCTGTTTCACTGACAACAAGATTGTTCTGTCTAGACGGGGAAGCGCCGCCAAACCGAGGGAGGCTGCGGAATAATTTAAAGCCAAAATACTTTACAGACATTAAATTTAAAAATAAAAGCTGGCTTGACACACATGCTGCTTGATGGATAGCTGGTGTGAGGGTGGGATGGCAGTTGGCTCTGACACGGAGCGTGGTGGCAGGGATGGGCAGGTGTCACTCGGGGTGACCCAGTGGCTGCTGACCTGTCACCTTTCCTGGATGAGTTTCCACCAGAATTGGTCCATGGAGGCCTCTGAGTGGCCTGTGGAGCTCAGTGCAGGGATTCTCTGCAATGTCTTGAATTGTGTAGCTCTGAGGCAGCTGCCCAGCCCATCCCCTGCCCGCTCAGTGCCACCTCCTGAGGGGCATCAGGGAATGTTGGAGCAGAAAGATGTGGGTGGGAGATGAGCCTGGCACTCCCTGTCTGCCTGGAGGGGCCTGGCCAGGGCTGTCTGAGGCTCAGGGGTGTGGTGGTGAGGTTGCAGCCCAGCCAGCATAAGGAATTTCCTTTCTTCTGGCAGAAAAAGAAAGATGAAATATTAAAAGCATGGCTCAAAGGCTGCTGTGTATATATATATATATATATATATAATCTTTTTTTCCCCTTCTGCTCAGCACTGCTTTGGTGTCGCTCAGAGACAGCAGCCAGTCAGAGCAGGAGGGATGCCAGATTTCAGGAGAGCAGGGAGTGGGGCTGAAGCAAGGAAGAAAGGGGAGGATTATCTCAGGTGGGTTGATTTCAGAGCTCAGGGTGAATTCTGACACTTCAACTCCTCCACAGCCTTCAGGACTTCAGTTTTCTGTTCAGCATCAGGAAACAAGACCTGTTTTTTTGTCTCTGCCTCTACAGATGAGGGCAGTGCCCTCTGAAGCAGGAGGACACCTCTGTGTGGGCCAGTGTCCTTGGATGAGGGAGAACGGGAGGAGAAGAGGGCCAAGGCACCCCTGGAGAAGTCCTGCAGGCTCCCAGCTTGCCATTTGTGCCAGCCTGGTGAGTTCAAGGGTTTGATGGCTGCTGGTGGTGTGAGGTTTATATGAGGTTTCTCCAGGGCCAAGCTCTTCCATTTGATGCCCCTGGGATGCGGGCAGCACGTGCTGTGTCCTGCTCGCAGGAGATGGGGAGGCTTTGCAGCAATGCCCAGCTGCTGGGCGGGCAGCAGGAGCCAGCAGCACCCCACAGGAGCCTGCACGGGACTGCAGGAGGAGGCTGCAGGCTGGAGAGGGTTGGGTTGGACTCGATGACCTTGAAGGTCTCTTCCAACCCAGTCATTCTGTGAGTTCTGTTCAGCTGGGGTTGGGCTCTTTCACCAGGCAGCACTGACAGAACCAGAGGACACGGTCTCCAGGTGTGCCAAGGGAAATATAGGTTGGATTTAGGAAAAAGTTTTTTACAGAAAGGTGATAAAGTTCTGGAATGGCTGCCTGGGGAGGTGGTGGAGTCACCATCCCTGGGTGTGTTTAACAAAGCCTGGATGTGGCACTGGGTGCCAGGGTTGAGTTGAGGGGTTGGGGCTGGGTTGGACTCGATGATCTTGAAGGTCTTTTCCAACCTTGTGATTCTGTGAGCGCTGAGGGCTGTTGTGTGCTGAGGGAGGAGCTGATGGGATCCAGCTCAGGGTGTTTAAAGCTGTTCCTTCCTCGTTTCTCCTGCTCTGTGTCGGCAGGGCTTGATCCTCAGGGATGTGGGAAGGGGAAGGTGCAGGGAGTGGGCTTGGAGCAGGATTAGGGCTGCACCTCTGCAGGCACTGACAGCCAGGGCTGTTCAGCCGCTGATCAGGGATGTGCCCAAAGGAAGCAGGCTGGGGACAGTCACCCGGAGCTCACAAGCTGGGAGGAGCTGTGAAACACAGCCTGACCTCCACTCCAGCTCCAGCTGCTGCCTGGCCTCTGCTCGCCTCTGGCAGGGCAGGGTGGGGACAGGCAGCAGAAGGGGGACCTGATGTCCTTTTCCTCACAGCCTTGTGCATTCCCCTGCCTCCTGCTGCCTGTAAAGCACCCTGTGATTAATTACAGCGCTCTGCAGCCGCCGAAAATTTATTTAGGGTGTTATGTTTGCTGCTGCTGCCACTTACACAATGGCAAATGTGCCGTGGCTGCTAATGGGTCACTGAAGGGGATCACACCACTGGAGCTGCTCTGGGAGCAGGGCAGGCACAGGGAACACTGCCAGGAAGGTGAGACAGATCTGTTCCAGTAGAATGGGCTCTGCTGCTTGCAGGAAATTGCTTGCTTCCCTGATAGCATCCAACTACTTTAATAAATCAATTTTTCCACTAGTTTGTTTAGCTTAAGCTTTCTCCTCCCTGCATCCTAAAAATTAGTCTAATAGGACTTTTTTATCTCTGAGAGGTTTGGAAATTATTTTCCTTCAGGGATTTCACTTTCCTTGGGGTGCCCAGAAAAAGTGTGGCTGAGGGAGTTGTCAGCTGGAGAAAAGAGCCTCAGAAAAAGCCTCCCTAAAAATGCTACCAAAGGCATGCAGAAATCAGCCCAAGCTGAACCAGCTGATGGCCCTGCTGTTGAATTTTAATGTTTCTGTGGGGCTGGTTTGTGTGAACTGAAGCAGGTTGTGTTTATTCTATAGAACTCTGTGGGTACCTTGCACTGCATGTCACTCCCTCAGTGCACTGGGAGCAATTCAGCTGGAGGAGCCACCACCAACACTGTTATCTTTACTGCCAGTCCTGCCTGATAAGTCTGCTCCCTCCAGGGTGGCTGAGCCCGGTGAGTAGCCCAGACCTGTGTGTGTGTTCAGGAGAAAGCAAAGCTCGTGCTCAGGAGCTGCTTGCTGGGATCCCACCAGCAGGAGCTTCAAACAACCCCAAGGGCTGCTTTAAAAACGTGGAATTTGCAGAGCTCTGCACAAGCAGTCCCTGGGTTTTTCCAGCACATTGGGACTCAGGTGGTTCTCAGCTCGGAGGGGCAGAAATGTGCTGTAATTCCATGGGCCCTGCTGTCTTTCCTGACATTATACTGCAAATTCATTGCAAAACTCAGCGTGGAGGCAGTGACTTGTGCTGGGTTGTGCTTTCTGAGCCCAGGGTTGCTGTCTGAGCTGTGTCCTGTGTGGGAGGTGTCTGGGGTTTGATGTCCTGCAGGGCAGGGCAGAGGTGCCCGCTCCTGGCACAGGGTGAAGTGAGCTGGGAGCCTTGGTGCACAGATCCTTGTCTGTGGTCCAATGTCCCTGGATCTCAGATGGCTGTGGGAGCCAGGAGCTCTTCTCTCACCCATGCCAGCTCCTGGCTGTCTGCTGCCAGTGGCAAACAGCCATTCCCCTCCCTCCTGCTGGGCTGCTGGTGCCACTTGTCCCCTCCGTTTCAGCTTTCTCAGGGACTGGGGCTTTCTCCCAGCTCTGGGAACTGCTGGAGGTGGGATCACTGATGGATCACACACCAGGGCACCCCACAGCTCCCAGGGCACCAGCAGCTCCCCTGGTTTCTCTCTGCTGTGTCTGGTGGCACCCCTGAGCTGCCCAGAACCACCCAGGTGCTGTGGATGCAGCCTTGGCTGGGAAAGGGAGTGCTCCTGGCTTGAGCATCTGAGCAGCAATAATAACACAAAATAACAATAAAACCAACAATGGCTGCACCTGCTCTTGCTGAGGGATGGAAGCAGTTGGAGAAGGTGTCCCTTGGTCCTTTCTCAGGGGTTTGTGGAGCCTGGCAAGGCTCTCTGGGGAGCAGGGGTGCCCTGAGCTGCTGGCCCTGGGGTCTGTCCCCATCCTGGTGCTGCAGGGAGGGGCTGTCCCTGCCCAGCAGGGCCCTGGCAGCTGTGGGTGCTGGAGGGGCAAGGGCTGGCACCCCCAGGCTCTGAGCAGGCTCTGGGGAATGCAGAGAGCTGCCTCCCTGCTCCCTTCTGAGGCCACGGAATGTGGGAGAGAAAGTGACTTCTACTGGAATAAAGGAGACTTCCTTTTGGGTCAAGTGCTCTGGAAGGGAATGATTTTGAGATGAAAAGCTTTTTGCTCTGGTAATACAGACTCACATTGCCTTGAGGGAAGTCTGCCTTATGTCAGGCTGCTTTTCCCTCTGGGGGCATTGCCATTGCAATTGAAGATGAATTTTCATCATACAAAAGAGAAGAAGAAAGCTGAGAGAAGACTTTAAAACATATCAGGGGTTCTTGTGGTCTGTTTTAATTCGTCAGCTTGTCTCTCTCGCTTGTGACATCCCTGTTGGGTGGAGGGATTGTTCCTCCTCTTCCCCTTGTGACTCGTTCCTGCCCTCTGGCATCTTCATCAATCCTAGGGTCTGTTTTAATATTTTTCAGGTTTTTTCTTTTTCTTTCTTTTTTTTTTGGCTTTTTTTTTTGTTTTGTTTTTGTTTTTGTTTCCCTTTTTTGCACCCAAGGCTGGTTGACAGAGCAGCAGGAGCTCCTGTGTGCTGCTCTGGGTGATCCCTGGGCTGGAAGAGATCAGACAAATCACAGATCGGTAGGGGTAGGAAGAGCCCTTAAAGCCCATTTAGTTCCAACCCCCTGCAATGTGCAGGAATGTCAGCCACTGGATCAGGGTCCTGGTTAGCAGGGGGTGAGGAGAGAGCAGCCCTCAGCCTTGGGAGCAGCCAGGTGAAGCCCCTGAAAGGTCTGGCATGGACCCTTTCCCTGTCAGTTTATGATCTGAAGGGTCTATTTTGAAAACATGGTACATTTGGCTTTGGTAAGGCCATGGGAAGCATCAGAGTGTTTAATTTCTCTGCTTTCTGCTGGTTTCTCCCCCCCTGCCCTGCAGGGAAGAGGCACACGCTGGGCTCTGCTGCTGCTTAGTGTGAAGTGCTGTAAAACCCCAGCATTGATTTCTCAATCAAAGGCGTCTGTTTGCTCCTCGGTCGGTGCTTTAATGCCTGAAAATCCATTTTTCACTCCCCAACAGTTTGCTGTAAGGTTTTTAAATCAACTGTTGTGCTTCAGAGCTCTGGGAAGGGAATGGATTCCGTCGAGCTGGCTCACCAGTGAGTTTTAAAGCAGACAGAAAACAGCCAGAGGCTGTGGGGGCTCTCCAGGCTCAGGTGAGACCTTTGCCTGCGCATCCCTGTGGTTGTACATGACAGCATTGTTCTCCTGATTCAGCTTTCTCTCTTTGGAAAGCTGTGGCTCTCCCTCCTGCCCCAGCAGTGACCCTGGCTCGGCAGCTCTGTGCTCCCCAGGCTTTGGGGGTTGCAGGCTGAAGTTTCAGGGTGTCCTGAAAACAGATGCCAGAAGAACCTCCAGACTTTTATCTGCTATTAAAAAGGAACACCACGTTCCCACCTGCACTTCCCATATTTTCTTGGCAGTCACAGCGTTTGCTCACTGCTCCCAGAGTGCATTTCCTTGCTGAAATGCAGCTGCTTTTGGGGAGGAGCAGAGTGGCTTGGGGCAGCAGGGAATGCTCCTGCAGGAATTGCAGCTGGAGACTGAGCTGGGAAAGCTGCAGCAGCTCCTGCCTTGGCCTCTGCCCCCTCCAGCAGCTCTCCTTGAATACAGACAGAGTAAAGATGTTTAACCCCATCTTCCCCTTTGCTAAAGGAGGGCAAATGCCATGGAAAACCCTTTCCAAAGGTGGGAGTGGAGTTGCTCTGCAGCCATGGGAGGTTCTGGTGGAGGCTGGAGTGGAGGGGAAGGCTGGTGACTCCTGGTGCTCATTGTATGCAGCAGATTTATCTGGAAGGAGCTGAAGGATGTGCATCAAGGATGTCTCAGCCATTCAAGTGAGAAATCAAATTAAATTTTGCATCAAACAGAAGAGCTGCTCTGTGCTGGGAGTTGTATCAGATCCATTAAGGCTTTCCCATGCCAGGCCCCCAGGAAAACCAGTGCTCAGTGTCAGGGGCTGTGTTTGCTGCTCACCTGGATGTGTTCAAGATGTGGGCAGCAGGAAAGGGGATCCGTGCTCCAACCTTCAGGATGGCTGTGTGAGGCGTGGGGAGGGGGACAGTGGCTGCACAGCAATGCCTGCTCTGTGTGCCCTTCAGCAGGCACTGAGGGATCCTCAGGGCTCAGCCCCATGGAGCTGGAGCTCTGGAAAACTCCTGTCCCAGCTCTCTTCTCCTGATCTCCCAGCAACAGGCTGGGACACGGAGCCCCTTGGGAACGCTGGGGTGTCTGGGAGGCAGAAATCTGAAGGGAAGCAACACCATCAGCATCACACAGAAGTGTGGCTCTGACTTGCCTCTCCTCAGTCACAAGTGCGTGTGTGCTGCAGGCAAGGGAAGATCTGCACAGGCACAGATTGCTCAGAGGCTGGGTGCAGCAGACTTGGCGTGGCAGAGGTGGCAGCCCGGAGGATGCTGCCAGCCTGGTGCCAGGGCAATCGTCTGCTGGGAATCTGTGCAGGATTTTGGCTGCAAAAGGATTTCCCCACACGGCACCAGAGGCTCTGAGTGCTCCCAGGTA